GGCTATCAAAATTGCATATGAAACCTTAGCCCATAAAAAATGGAAAAATGGACATGATGCCGGTGTGCGCAGTTTTTTTTTATAAAACGAGTCGGGCTGGATTACGCAAAAAAGTAGCTTTTTAAATTTTTTCTTAATTCACAAAAATGATCCCCACTAGTGTAAAATGGCGTGATATTTTTGGAGTCCGTACGTAAAACAACATCCAGACTATGAATGCAATATTTACTTGCATGAGAAAAGGAAATAGGAGAAGAGTAAAAATAAAATAAAATGAAAGAGAATAAATGTCAGATATTATCTCCTTTTTCTTTTATTATTCTTTTGTATGATTTTGCTTCTTCTGATTGGTTAAGCACATCAGTGGCACACTTTTATAAAAATGAGCCCCTCAAGTCACGAGTTCAAATCCTCCTCTAGCCAGTTGACCGGTAGTGAGGGTGGTCCTTGAATAGTTAAGTACATCAGGGTGGTTGGAGGCTCGTATATATATATATATAAGCATCGTTAGCTCTTTGACACGCTGCAGCACCCTCTGACTACGTTTGGTTGTTTTTATGTTCTAATCTGCCATCTTTATGTCAAAGTATATATGCCACAAGTCGTGGTCTGTTGGTTAGCGGGGTGGGTTCACTGTATGTCCCCTCAGGTCACGGGTTCGATCCCCAGTGGTGCTGGGTTCTTGAATATTTAGGTACATGGCACGTGATATCATCATGGAGCCTAGCACATGAGAAATCGGTATTTGGGCCTCTACCAAATACCAATTTCCTTTTTAAAAAATAATAAAATTATATATTAAATTCAAGTGCCTCTCACGCATTTATATGTTTTGCAATAGGAGATTATTTGGGTGATTTTAGTGAAGAAATAAATGATTCGGGCCCAATGTAAATGATGCACAAAAAACTTATCATCTTTTGCTCCTATTTAATTATCTTGATTAGGAAATATCTCTTCTTAGCCCACCTCGGCATAATGAACATGCTTGTGCAGTCACTTTGGATGTCTTATGTCATTTAATTGCTTCAACAGTGTTTGAAGTGTGTCAAACACCTACAAGGTATCACATTCACTATTTGTCATATGTCATATTCACTCAACTTTTAAAATATATCTTTAGGTCAAAAAATGCCCCCAACTAATTTGGTGTGTGCATCGAGCAGACCATATTTAATATTATTTCTTTATTTTTTTGGGGACTTTCTTGCACTTTTATATTACTATTTCTCTCTATTTATTCTTTCTTATATGTGAGGTTTTCTTGGAGAAAACCTGCTGATGTGTCACTTTATGAACCCAGTGAGGATGGCATTAGAGTCATCATTGATGAGCAAGATTCTTGAGAAGACACTTATATTCGAGAAAGGTTCGAACAACATGGAATGATGTTGAGAGGATATGATATTTATCATGATTTTTTTAGACATTCTCCAACACTTTCAGATTGTATAGTTGACTCTTCTATCTCATAGGATCCCATAGAATGGGTGACGATCATTAAGTTAAAATGTAGAGATTATAATATTTTAGATAGCACAGTTGATCAGCTAAGCCATATATTTTATGATATTTTACATTCTATTGCTGACACACTAGAGTAGACTAGACAGTCTGGGTTATTGAGCCATCGTTGGTTGCATTCAAACTCATTATATTGAGCATGAGATTCATCAGTGGGCCAAATTGTTAGCTCTTCACATGGATATGTAACTTGGGCTACGTACATTTTGCAAGCTCATCATGATATACTAGTTTTTAGGATCTATGAGGTTGTGTATTCATCCATGTTCAATAAAAAAATTTATCCTCCATATTGGGTTTTGGGTTTGGTTGAGTTTTAGGATTCTAGTAATAGCACTTGTTGGATTGGCCCCGAGGAAGTGACAATCATATTGTGGGAGTTGCAAGCTTTGTATTGGCTTTTAATATTTGGTCATCACAAAGAGGAGTGAATTCTCTTGGATGCGGAGCTCTTTTGTCGAAAACCTTCAACTGATGGGAATTGCCAAGACCAATTTGTTCTATTTGTTTGTCTATCCTAAGCTTTTAAATCATGATTGTTGGGCATATAGAGCAATTAGATTATCGTGATTATCTCGTGCTACTATTTTAGTGAGTTCATGGATTTCATTCTTTTTGTGAGATGATGTTTTGATTTAATAAGCTACATTATTGAATAATCCATTTCATCTTCATTCACATGTTGATAGCTATTTGTCAGAAAAAACTGCTCAACCATCCCTGTTATTTAGTTACTCTTCTCCTTTAATTTCTAGTGTAGTTAAGGATTTGCTATTAGTAGGATTGTTGGTTACTTTGTTATGCACTTTTGTTCTCCCCCTCAAAGAAAGCTTCATACTGTCGGGTGATTTTCTAACGACTAGCTGGATCTATTGAGGAAAGAGGCATTCTATAGTTCCTTTAATATTGGCCAAGATATTCAAAGTTTTGAGGGTATCTTTCTAGGATCCTTTGCCTTGCTCTTCAAGATCTTACTTTGCCTTAGTATTATATTCATACATATGTACATCATCATGTACATGGAACTTTTTCCTATGTGGAGTGCCCTTCATATTTTGTAGGGTGGATATTTTATAGTCGTGCAGTTGTCTTAGGTGATATTTGCTATTGAGCAAGTATTGAGCAAGAGCTTGTACGCCCTTTTTTTTTTTTGCTCTGCACTTGGTAGTTGATAGAATTTTGTTGGTTCATCAACTAGATATATTTGGTATTCCTCCTCATCTAAAGGAGGTGGAGCTTATAGACAAGATCAATAGGAGAGGTGGATGCACACTACTCATAACGGGCAAAATTTGAAAGTTGATGAGCACTTCATTAGTATGTGCCCATGATGGTTGTGTTACTGATTTGACTACTCGATTATTTTAGAGAGTTATCAACCTAATCAATTAGTTCATCAGTTTGGCTATTCATAGGTAACAACATATGAAAGAAGACTAGTTATTTCAGTGATCACTTATGTCCTTCATAAAGGTTTTGTATCAGTTAATTCGACTTTACACCGTTTAGATGATATTGGCGCACTTGCACCTACTCGACACTGATAGTTGATATCACATAACTCCTCCTCATAGTTATACAGGTTTCATCTATACTTATTTGACTTGGATTAGACTATCTTTTGCCCCTTCCTTGGAACACGATGCTCAAAATTATGACCGTAAGGTGAGATAGCTAGGGGTTCATCAAGTTAGAGATCTTGACGAGGCTTCTCTCATAATAGTGATAATAGAGGTTCTTAAACATTGATTACTTTTTATTTTTTTAATCAACATAACCATCAATATTAGGTCATTATGTTTATTATCTCAGCTAATTTTTTATTTATTCAACATTTTTCATGGATGTATGTAGAGAGGAGGTAAACCTGTTATGGAGGAAGATGCTACTCGTCTCCTGATCAGAGTGCATGCTAGAGACGCGTCATTACAGTATACAAAGTTACCTTCGTTAACAAAGAGGCAAATGCGCTCTCAACACATGGAGCCTCCTTGTTCTTATAAAAAAATAGATTGCCAGCCCTATCCCTCGTTGGTGCTTTATGCCAAAGAAGTTTGCTTCTTACCTGATGATGTTCAATGATGCACATTCGATGCCACTTAGAAACTTTGGCACAAACACAGGTGGCTCTATCATAGATGGAATTTCTCCATGATTCTCTATTCATCCTTTTGGCTAAGCGAATCATTTAGAGCAAGATCACCATTTTTGAAGAGGAACCATACACCTGAGCCAATCCAGTCCCACTTAGAATAGCTCTTCCATGTTGCCCTCCAACAGAAATTAGAAGGTCGAGCACATCTATAATATTTTCTTTTTATTTCACCATTAATATTATTTATTATCATTTTGCTATAATTTTGATTACTCGCTTTGTAATTGGCCTTACACAATGCATGAGAGAGTTAACTATGAGCCAAAGATTCATTACCGACCACATTCTTTTGCTAATCCACGACATAGAGATATGCATGAGTAACATCCGGTATTCTGTGGAACTTGACCTCCGGGTTGGATCCCGACTCACCCCAATTTTTGGATTATTTTATAGCAGACACAAATGCCACCTTTGTTGCAGGAACCCGATAATAAAAATTTGACAACAAGAAAGGATTACACTGTCAAAACCACTTCAGCCCATTATGATCTCCTTCAGCCCATAATGATTATTTGTGTGTGAACACTTAAAATATTATAGAAAAAAAGTATTTACTGAAATTAACCTTTAAAACTTGATTAAATCATACTTCAAATAGTGTATTGAAACATGAAACCTTCTATTCAAAATTAGCTTTCCTCTTTCAATAACAAATTTCTTTCCTATTTGATTCGGGTGTAATAATATGAATCATTATATTTGTGTTTTGAATACTCGGAGAAAAAACATTATACATACGAATGCAAGCATTTATATATTTGCTATGTGGTCGAGAAACTTGGTCAATCAATTTTTATCAAAATTATCAAGTCAAGTAAAAGTTGTGCTTTTAATTTCACATTATATGGTTAAAAAAATATTTTAGTATAAAAGCATAAAGTGATTAATCTTTATCTATAGGCTTAAGCTTTTGGATTAGAAATGAGCTTGATCATCTACCCATGTGGCCTAAATTTGAACCCCACCTGGTTCCATTCCCTAAGAAGAAGAGGTATTGATGTGTATGGTTTAGCACCTATACTAATATTTAGATGCATACCACTAAAATCTTTAACAACAAATCAAAATTGTCACCACCATTATTTTTTTTTAAGTAGAAAACATGCATAAATGTATGACACTAAACTGGCAAAATGAAACTTCAGTTGGATATCTAAATACATAAAAACTGTATGGTATGCATGTAAATTTCCATATATATATCATAATATATCATAAAAAAATTAGCAGATCATTAAAATAAAAATTGATAGTTAATTAGTGCCAGTTACTCATGAAGCTGCCCCATTTTTTTTGTTAGCACATCCAACAACTACGATCAACTCAAACATTTGTCAGTTACTTTTATAAATCAGAATTTCAGTCAAACAAATCATGAACGGTAAGCCAATATTGCTGAAATTATACACACTACCTCTTTCTAAACAACGGCCGCAATCAATGATTATTAATCATCAACTTAAGCCCATAAATATGCATTTGAGAACAAAAAAAAAATGTTCTTCTTTCGCAAGCAAAAGGACCTTCTCATATCTCACCAAATCTTACATAGAATCTGTGTTAGCTGCTCCCCTCCTCTGATTGACTGACTCCATGAGCAAATATCTGCAGAAACTTCTCACCAAACAGATTACTGAATTCAAGATAACTAGAAGCTTTAAAACTGTGAGTTTGCTGAAGTAGAAGCCATCAGATTTTTCTCATAAACTGTGAAGATTGCAAAGCCAACTAATCACTACTTGTGAGAAATTGGAACACTCATACTGGCTACATTGCTTGAATTCATGCTTGCAGTCATTAGCATATGCCGGAATTCATCTAAGCTTATCTTTCCATCCCTATCCATATCAGCCTCTTCCAATAACGTTTCAGTAGAACCTTTCATTCCTATGTACTGTAAGAAAAAGAGTTTTATGAGGTTTCAAACAATAACAAAATGGATTTTAGTCTCTCAGAGGAAGAGAAGTACCATTTGAAGTTCTTCTGATGAGATGTATCCATCTTTGTCAATATCAAACTTCTCGAAGGCGGCTTTCGAACACTGTTGCCACTTCTCCGAGTCGTGTTCTTCCAATTGATGCACGTGCAGAGCGGCCGCAACAAATTCCGAGAAATCAACCAAGCCATCCGTGTTGCTATCAATCTGCAACACAAATCACAATAATCAGAAAGAATATGCATAACGATAGGTTCTTGGGACATTATATTAATTTTTTATTGGTAAACTTTGTACTGATTCCTTGGGATGTAGAATTAGTAAGAAATGTGTTGAGGATTGAAGAATAGGATGGGAGTTGCAGAAATTAGGATGCTTACAGCTTCAAGAATTTCTAGAACACGAGGCTCCATCAATGACCAAGGAATATCTTTAGCAAGAGCCTGCATTGTTGCACGATGATGAAAATGATTTGTATAGTAACACAGATAAGTTGAGATGACACTGAAAAACTCGAACTAAGGCAATTTCCACTTTATCGACCATTTTTTATTTCAACTGGACATACTTAGTAAAGGGATATATGTGAAAGGAATGATAACAACAATTTTATCCTTGCAAAAGGAAAAAAAAAAAAAAGATTTTTCCATGGGGTCTTTAATGAATGCTATTCTCAAAAACACGGTTGAAAATCAATCGAAACAACTTTTTCAAATTGATTTTGGTTGTCACGGAAATGAATATTTGGCTTTTATTTATAGCGCTACCATAATGGAATAAAAATCAGCTCGATGGCGTGCAAAACAAGTTGTACAGCAACTAAAAATAAAAATCAAACACTTCGGGCAGTAAGCTAAGCAGTCCAAAGATAATCTCAAACAATAACGTAAATAGTAGTTACACAAAAATAATTGGTAAAGATGAATCATTGGTAATATAAAATTTGACATACAAGGCAATATTTATCACTGTAATGTTAACATAAATTATGCAAGAAAAGCAGACAAGTAAATGATGTGTGGCCATGGCTAAAATATCAGAGGAAAAGTGAATAAAGACCATATCGTTGATAAACAATGTATTTTAAGACATCAAAGCATTTTCGTACAGAATGCGAATTGCACCCATTGAAAACTTACCTGTCTCATTTCTTCGAGGCTGATTGCACCATTTTTATCAATATCAATAGCGTCAAATTGATCTCGAAGATCAGCGAGCTCTTCTGAGTTGAGAGTGCTAGCCAATGCCTGGAGATGAAATTGTATGAATGCTAGGTTTTGTACAAATTCAATGAGAAAGATCAATTGCAATATTACCCGAAGAGCAAATTGCTTAAAACGCCCGAATTTCACGAACTGGCGCATATTGGACAACACAGATATGTCTAACGGAATTTCTGATGCAAGCCCCCCTTCCCTTACCCATGGATGTGCTGAAAGAACAAAAAAACAGGAATCAGAGTCAATCACGCGCACACACACACAAAGAAATTAGAGTTAACCCAAATCATAACGGAAACACAAATATTATTTCTGAATCCCAAACATGTTACGAACACAATACAGGAAAGCAAGAAATAGTTGACAATATATATATATATATATATAATATATATATATATATATATATATGACAACGTAAACAATAAGAGGAGTCTGTGGGGGACGATGAGCACTGAGGCTGCTAGATGGCGGTTGGTGGCTGAGTAAAGAGGGCTGTGGCTTGTAGAGAGGTGGCATGAGGGATTGAAAGCCTCTGAAACAGCAAGACAGCTTGGGTCGGCAGTCAAAACAGCAGCCGGTTGTTGTTTGGGGCTGCTGGAAAGAATGAAAACTGCAAAACGAAGGCATTGCGTGCTGCAGTAGCGAAGGTGGAGGTCTGGGACGATGAGGGCAGCGAGGACGAGGTAGGATAAGGTGATTGGGGGCAGTTGGAACTGCAGAAAACAGTAGATCCTTGCTGTTCTGGGCGGTGGCAGCAAGTGTGGCGATGGTAATGACGTCGAACAGTAGCTGGAGAGGTGTAGGAACGTCGTTGGAGACTGGATTGGCAGTTGCGATGAAGGCCGTAGAGGTGGGGCTACTGTCTAAGAAGTAGGATAGCAGTTGGGAGGATGGATGGAGAGATAAATATCTCAGCAAGGTCGAGCTATAGCCGAAGCATCACTCAGACCCGTGGAGATGATCACCACCTTAGACAAGAGGCAGCCAAAGCACTACATTGATGTCGGATACAACTCTCAAGAGGGAAAATACTTGAACAAAACTGAATTCAGATTTCATAAAACAGACTCCTAACTCAAAGCACAACTTTTTCTATTTATAAAGAAACATAACCTATCTTAGGAAACATTTAAAATAAGGAGAATAAAAATCAGATTTCAGATTTTGGGAAAGGCTTTTAAAATAGGAAATGAGAAAAAAAAAATCATATTTTAGGAAATGTCTTTTTTTTTTAAATAAGAAGGGAGATTAAAATTAGATCTCATATGTTAGAAAATGATTTAAATTTAGAAAGTGCTTAAGAAGGAATGTGAGAAAAGAAAAGGAGGACATCAGCCAATAAGGGAAGAGGAAGGAGTGGTGGCAACCCCCCTTCCCTTGAAGACCGGTCGGTCCTCTCCCGAGCCCTGCTTCAGTCTCCAGGGATTGGGGGAGCTTTGACCTCATCTGTCAAAGCTTAGGGTCCCTTGTCTTTAATCATGGCAGCACCTGGATCCCACTGTCGACTGTACTGTCTCCCCAAATATTTGCAAACACACCATCTCGGTTCAATCTCCTGGAACTGAAATCTCTTGCTTGGTGGTGGCAATGGTGGTGAACCGATAGTCACTAAGACCAATCCTGCTACTCTGTGGGTGAGGCCTTTTGTCTCTTTGGGCTTTACCGAGGGTAGTAGATTGAGGTTTTCATTGTCTTTGGTGAAGGAATACGTGTTTCGGAATCCATCGTGTTGAGTCTTCCAGTCACAATGCCATGGTCTTCCTAGCAAAAGGTGGCAAACATCCATGGGAATCACATCATACTATAACCTGGTCCTGTAGCTGATTCCCTATTGAAAACCCTACTAGGCTTTGTCGGTCAATGTTGATCTTGTTTTTCTTCTTCAGCCACATCAGTGAATATGTTTGGGAATGTCTCTGAGCAATGAGTCCCAATTTCTCTACCATTTAGATGGAAGCCACCTTCTTGCCGCTACCCCCATCGATGATAAGGTTGCATACCTTTCCGTTCACTGTGAGACGGGTGTGGAGAACGTTGTGGCGAAGCCACAGCAGATCCCCCAAATCCTCAGCCTGCAGAATCTGTTGAATCACAAGTGCTTCTCCCACCTCTGGTGGAAGTTGACTCCTCACACAGTTCCTCAGCTTCTTGCTCCTCGCTAACCTCTTCTACGACACCCTGCTCAATGAATGTTACAACTCCGCTTGTCGGGCAGCTGGAGGTTATGTGCACAATTTTGTGGCATCTAAAGCATTTTCTGAAAAGCACTGTAGTCGCCTTCTTCTTGCTGGTGGTGGCTTTATTCTTGTCCGAACCAAATTCCTCAACTTTTTGAGGCGTGTTCCTGCTGCTGTCTCTAACTGTGAGTGGCTGTCTGGCTGTTGGTGGTTGACTGCTCTACTTATGCTGCCTCTCCACTTTCAATGCAAGTGTCTGGACATCCCCCAACATCCAGTACAACTGGAGCTGCACCGCATTGTTAATACTAGGCTTCAAGCCCACAAACTATTTGGCTACCGTATTCTCCTCTGGCTCTGTCAGGTTGCACTTCAGTTGTAAGTGGTCGAATTGAGTTATGTACTCCTTTGAAAGGTCTCTCTGTTGTAGATTGAGAAGTTTCAAAAACATGTTCTGGCGGTAATAAGAGGGAAGATAATTCTTCTGCGTGGAAGATCTTCTCCCACCTAGTAATCTTTTTGTTGCCTTCTCACTTTCTCTGTCATTGTATGTTCTCCTATCATAGGGAGACACTTTTCTTCAATTTGGTAGCAACTAAATTGACTCGCCTCTCTTCGGGCACCTCTTTGTATTCGAAGATCAGCTCAACTTCCTCTAGCCATTCAATAAATTCCTCCAGATCCATGCTCCCCTTAAACTCGGGCAAATCTACTTTGATCCCATAGTTTTGGTGCCCTTCAAATCTACTTCGATACACATCTCTTCTCAAAAGTGTTCCTGTGGAAGGGACACAGGTATCCCTCTTCAGGCCTCATCTAATATTGGATCCCGAAACACCGCGTCCTATCTTCTTCATCATTGAAATTATCCCTATGGAAGGGATTCAGATCCTCTTTTCTTTCTCTTCTTTGACTCTCCAAGTCTTGGTAGACGGTAACTTCCTCCCGTGTCATTTCTTCAATCTCCGCAATTCTTTGTTAGAGGCGATACAGTTTTCGTTGTATCTCTTCCCGGGTAGGCTTAGGCATATTTCTCCTTGGTGGCATGTTTGACGGTTTAGGATCTATGAAATGAAAAAAAAAAGGAACAAAAAAAGAAAAAAATAAAAGAAAGAAAAAAAAAATTGGTGTGCTGGATTGGGTAGGGGCGGATGCTAAAAACCCTAAGATGGAACTAGGGTTGGGCTAGCTCTGATACGAAATGAGATTGGAGTTAAAGAACAATAGAAATACAAATATTATCTTAGAATTTCAAATATATCACAAAAACGATACAGGAAAGTAGGAAATAGACGACAAACAAACATGACAATATAAACAATAAAAGGCATCCTTGGGGGACCACGAGGATTTTGGCTGTTGGACTGCGGTTAGTGGCAGAGGAAAGAGAGCTGCAACTGTAGGGAGGTGGCAGAGGAAAGAGGGTTACAGCTGTAGGGAGGTGGCAGGAGGGATGGGCAGCCGCTGGAACAGTAAGACAGCTGGGGCGGCAAGTCAAAACAACAGTCGATTGTTGTTTAGGGCTGCTGAACAGCAAAAAACAACAAAGCAAAGGCGTTGCAAGCTTCAACTGCGAAGGTGGACGGTTGAGACAATGAGCAATGCAAGTACGAGGGAGGACAAGGTGATGGGGGGTGGCTGGAAACGTAGAAAACAGTAGATCCTTGCTGTTCTGGGAGGTGGAAACAAGGGTGGAGGTGGTAACGGTGTCGATCCGTAATTGGAGAGGTGCAAGAACGTCATCGGGGGCTTTATTGGAGTCTGCAGTGAAGACCGGAGAGGTGGGACTGCTGTGGAAGAAGTAAGACAGCAGCCGAGAGGATGGACAGAGAGATAAATATTTCCGTGGGTCGAGCTACAGCCGTATTACCACCCGGACTTGTGGTGAGCGCCCGACTATCTCGGTGGGGTCGAGCTACAACTTAGCATCACCCGGACATGTGAAGACGATCATCATCTCGAACAAAGGACAGTCGGAGCACTACTTTGATGTCAAAAATAGCTCTCATATTTTAGAAAATGGCTTTTATTAAAATAAAGCATAATAAAATCAGATCTCATATTTTAAGAAAGGATTTAAATGCATGCATGCATGCATACATACATACATACATGCATACATCCATACATGCATCCATCCATCCATCCATCCATCCATCCATCCATGCATACATGCATACATACATCTAAGCATACATCCATGCATGCATATATACATACATACACAATAGATGTATGTATCTCTATACATATATATATATATATATATTTTTTTTTTTTTCTTAAAGGAATGGTCGGAGGCTATTATATGAGCTCTGGTCATCCCTTTTATGCCTAAAAATTCGAGTACCACACCCTACACTCGAGCCGAATCGAACCCCAGACCGGAAGGGACTTACATTTGACAAGCAGATGCCCGACCAACAGATCTGAGTACGCCGCTCATGTATCTCTATACATGTAAGTGTGTGTGTGTGTGTGTGTGTGTGTGTGTGTGTATAATATATATATATGTTCCGTCAACCGTGGCTTGTTGGCAGAGCAGTTTCTCTGAAAGTCGTAAGTCCCCTCAGGTCACAGGTTTGAATCCCTCTCTAGCCAGTTTGCCAGTAAAGAGGGCGGTCCTCGAATTGTTAGACACATGAGGGTGGCTGGGGGCTCGTATAATAGCCTCTTAAATGTTTGTGTGTGTGTGTGTGTGTGTGTGTGTGTGTGTGTGTGTGTGTGTGTGTGTGTGTATAAAGAAAGGTATTTAAAAATACCATTCTCATATGTGCTATTCGTTACCAAAGAAATCAAACCCAGGTCAAAAAGAACTTATGCCTCAAACACTCTACCAACTTGTCACCCGATATACCTAAAATATATAGTGTTTTTATACACATTTTATACATATTTTTGAGATATTGCGCTTTAATAAAATATATTTGTGTGTTTTTCTTGGAGCTACAATCAAATGGATGAAAAATGCTCAAAGGAGTGAAAAATGGTAAAATTTGGAGCAAAAGTGAAGAAATATGCAAAAATGAACT